TTGGCTTGTGTATATCGTATATATACATATATATTATTCATACCTTCTGTGTATAGGATGCAAGCAGATTTTGACATCAAATTTTGGGGTAAAAAAGTGCGTCTTATACACCGAAAAATATGGTAACCTAAAAACAACTGTAAACAGAAGACTGTCACAAATTAAAAAATTAGAAAAAGTTGTCCAAAATGCTTTGGAATACTTCTCATTCAAAGATAACAAGATCATAAAGAAGATCACACCTAAAGCCCCACAGACATCTTTAACATAAAATTTTCATGCAGAATTAAAATGTTTGTAATAATATGCATACAATCTAAAATATTACATCAACAGCAAAGCACGCCTTTCTACAATGCATGCATAATGTATCTGAGTGTAAATATTTACATTTAATAAAGATAAAAACAATATGTTATCTTGAATAAGCCCAATAGCAGCTATGATTAGAATGGATTTAACAATCATAGATTCAAAGAACACTTTACTAGATTTTTCACAAAAGCAAACATAAATACATTTTAGCCCTATTTTCAGTACAGCAGGGCTAAAATGTATTGTTACGTCTCCGTTTGTTAATTGATTTCCTGTAAATTCGTTCCAACGAAACATTAGCGACACAAGTCCTTTCTTAAATAAAACTGGTTTACGATACACTTAATTTCAACAATCGCGCTAAAACAAACGCTATAACAACGAACGTTAACTTCAACAATACTCTCTGACTGAAGATCAATTACTCACTACCTACCATTGTCCCGTCACATTGTGACCATCTTATATATACCAGACTACCCCCAATCTAGTAATCTCCCGAAGGTTCGAGAAAGAAGTGGCGTGGTACTAGTCACGTGACCTCGCTGACGCAACAGTATTTAAGTTGCAGAAACAAAGCTGCACTGCAAAGACATTGGTAACAGTAATCAGACATACAACTATCACCAAAAAGATGTGAGCAATGAGTTTGCCTAGGATTTCATACAAAATACAAAGATCTTTTGGGGCTCCCATAATGCAATTTCACTTACACTGTGTATCTCATCCTACCCGCTTGACCACAAGATGCCACATGTACATCTCCCCAAGTGACTACCAAGCCAGCAATCTCCCCGAAAAAATGAAGTAATCACCAACATTAACAAATACTTGATAAGCATTAGTATGGTCTTGAACAACTTCTAGTACATGTGAAAAACCCTTATATCAGGATAAGCACAAATAAAGTTGTGTATTGCATTGTGATACCTATTCTAAAATTGAAATAAATAAATAAAGCACACATTAAATAGATGTTTTCATTGTTTATGTTATAAGGATTCAACTAGAGTATCACACTAAGATGCTCATGTGAAAAATTGGTAAATAAGCCACAAATAATTCTTGTACTGTAAAAGAATTAATTCAAATGGATACTAAAACAATAAGAGAAACAAAACCAGGTCATTTTGCCTTATGACACCAAAGACAAGAAAGCTAAAGCATAGTTTATAAGAAAGAATGCACTATTTATGTGCATAAATAAGGAAAATATGCAGCTGGACAAACAAAGGTTTATACAGATCTTTCAAAACAAATATCCAAATGTGATACAAAACTGTTTTTATTTTTTCATTTTCTTTTCTTCATAAAAACCATTTTTCCATCGAAAATCAAGGTTTCTGCTACTAACATGAGAACTAATAGTAACTCAACTAATAATCAGAAGCATATTCTGAAGTTTTTGCATTCAGAAGTGGATGTTATCGATTTTTTCTACTGGAAATCTGCTAGGAGAGATTGCAAATGCATCCCATTCCTGATACAACCAGCAAATTAATGATTTATGTAGTAGGTAGGGTCTTATCTTGACTAATGAGCCTATTACAGAACTAGCTTAGCAAACAGTCACTCTCCAAGCCACATACCGCTATACTTCTAGACAAAACATAAAAGAATTGCATTGCTTCCAAGATTTGAGACAATTAATTTTTTTTTCTTTAGAACAGATGCCTTGCTAACACTCCAAAATGTGATACAAAAATGGATTCTTAAGAACAATAATCTCTATAAAATAGTCTCATTTAGCAAAAGATGCTTTCATGTACCGAGAATCCAACATCTAATCTTCTATTCTGTCAGGATCCAGTGATCCTATCTGATTCAACAGATCAGCAGATACAGTACATACAAGAAAAATAAAGTAACATGATTTGTGTTTCTTCGAATTGAATACACTTAAAAAAAGTGTGTGAAAAATATGTATGATACCAACAGTACTTGAGAAGTAGTGGATCAAATCATAACCAGTAACTCTGGGTAACAGATTAATTGGGGGAAAGGCATAGAGGTGCAATCCAATTCAATCTTGATTGAATGCATCTATTGCCAAAGCCCGAGGATGAGGTACCGATAACCAAAACAGCTGTAGTTGAGAGTTCCAATGAGTGGTGTATGCATTGATAATCAGAGTCCCAAACTGAGAGCAAATCCATCGGAAAACCTCATGATGGAGTAGCATTCAGTCAGGAGAATTTGGCTGGGTCAAGTCAGATGATCTGCTATTAAATTCATTCCCCCCTGATGCATGGCAAGCCAGGAGGCTAATGTAATTGGAGAGAGCGCAGTAGAGAATATCCAAAGTTCGAAAGCAAAGGTCCTAAGAACGGGTGCCCTATTGATGGGAAATGCAAGAGACCACTGTACAATTGTTGGAATGAATCATGACGAGCTTCCCCTTCAATAGATTGAGACCTATTGAACAGCAAGAAGTTCTAAAAATAGTGATGTGGAAGGAAGAATCGACTTCCTTCCATAAACCCTGGAATTCCTGACTGTCGATATATGCACCCCTTCCCTGAAGTGTTTGTGTGTTGTTCTGCCAACTGACTAGATGGTGCCAGAAGTAACCAGTCATCCATATAATGGCCTATGCACAGGTCCAAAGCACAAAGGTGACGAGAAAAAGCTCGTACAACTCTGCAGAAGATATATGATGCAGATACTAGGCCAAAGGGAAGAGCCCTGAACTGCAGAACCTGACCCTTGTGCATGAAATGTAGATAGTGGTGGGATAACTTCGCTATGGGAATGTGAAGATATGCATTGGCAACATCGAATTTGGTCATCCACAGACCTGGTGAAAAATGCCAATGTAAGTTGAGAAAGGACTTCATTGTGAACCTGGGAGGATCTAAGAATTGGTTGAGATGGGAAAGAGTGAGGATCGGCTGCCAATCTCCCATATTCTTGGGCACAACATATAAACATGAATAAAATTCCAGAAGAATGAGATCGACTCTCTCTACCACCCCCTTGTTCAATAACTCTCTGATAGCCTTAGAACAAATATCCACAGTCCATAGATCTATTGTGGTTGGAAATACCACTGGTTGGGAGGATAATGGAGGTGGAGAAATGGACTGAATGACCAACTCCGATGTCAGAACCTGAAGTACTCATGGTTCTGTGGTGAAGGAATTCCAGGTGTCCAGAAAATGTTGTAACCTCACTCCCATAGACCCCACCTGCAGAGGGTAGTCACTGACTCCATTGGCAACAGTCTGCTGAGCAGCTGACCCTTGGATATAAGGACAGAATCCATTATGAGTACCAACAGAATGAGGAGCAGAAGTTGGAGGTTGGGACACACAACAAGCAATTGCGCCATGACTTCCAGCAGGAGCCAAAGAAGGTCTCAAGGCCAACAATGACAAGGAAGAATGCAAATGGGTGACATAAATTCGTGATTCCAACACCTTTGGGATGGCCACAAACAAGAGACAAAGAAAAGGAGCCTCATGAAATTCACGGAGGCTACAGCAAGTAGACAAACTCCCTCCAACAAGGCATCTCTACCCAATAAATCCCAACAACATACAAACCAGGAAACCAAAGAAAGAGCAGAAGCTGACAGTGTTTCCTAAGTCAAAGTCAGCAAAGGACCCAATTCGTTCTGAAATTTATGTGGGGAATGCTGATAGACTTTCAACAAAATTTGGAGGGAAAATAAATATCTCAGAACAGTAGTTAGGGTCAAACAAATCAAGGAAAACTGTGATCTGTTTAAAGTGATTGAAGGATCCAATGTGGAACCCCATATATCCAAATATACATCCACCTGGTGGTGATAAGCCAAAGACAAGGCATAGCTACCCCATCATGTAATTGAGCAGTAAGTCCCCCAACATGAACAGCAATATCAGATGAAGGAGGAAAACTAAGTAGTCATCCTCAGACCTATCAGCCATCAAGGGAGGAGTAGATTCAAAGGCAACTGGAGAAAGCTCCAAACCTCATAAACCTGATTGACTAACTGGAAAAATGAAGAAGGAAGTGGCTCATCCAAATTGACCTCATGAGAAGCTGACCTAGTAAACGAAGGCACCAAAAAAAAAAAAGAATTATGTCCTGGATCATCAGCAAAAAGCAGCCTTTGCCCCCATACCAAATATATGTCTCCATCTCACAAAATATCAGATCACGGACATCTTCAACTGAGAATGATCCCCTGAACCTTTGAGAGACGCTAGATAACAGAGGTGGAATAGAGGAGGGCTGATTAGCCTCTGCACTGGAAACAGTAACCTGTGAATTCATGCCTGACAACAGAGTGTCACAATTTTTTTTTCTTTCTAATAATAATTATTAAATATGATTTATACATAAAGCCACTAGGCGACGTGAAAATCGCAACCAAGAACATTAACTATTGCAGCACTTCTGTAGAGAAACCCATGTCGAAATGCTTTGTTGAGAAAATGTGATAAAATTATCCGAACAAGGTGCTTATATACAGTACCAGGATAGTATGCAAGACTGAAAGTTGATTTCACCACGACAAAAGGCTTTGCACTAACTTAGTGTAGAAATGTTTAAACACTTTTCTTTCTCTATTGAGGTTCAAATGAATGAAAAATGAAGAAAAAGTTTCAAATTATTTTTTTAATATAACTTCTTACATGAGAAATTTGTGTTGAAGGTTCAGTTTGACAACGAATTTTGCTTAATGTCCTATCACTGAACAAGGCAAATGTAGCTTCTTTGTTCTTGATAGTACTTAGAAATTCATTGGTATTATACCTTGAAAGTGGAATGGTCTGTGATATTGAAATTTTATACAATGATAAGTTCTAAGCAGACTTAATAGACTACACTTTAATATGTTTTGTATTTGTAGAACTAAAAGAAATCAACGTTCATAAACAAAATTATAATAGGATCCTATCCAGACAGTTACTCATACTGATGTTCTTAGACTAATCTTCCTGATAAGCATCATACCAACTGGAGCAAATGTCTATGTATTTTCCAATAGAACAGAGAGAGACCAATGAAAACTTATTTATCAATAAGAACTGCAAAGCTATAAACAGTTTGACATAAAAGACATATTACTATTTAGCAATAATATTACACTTATTAATAGTTTTTCGATTAATATTATGTTTATGAGGGTTATTTTGCATTATTTACTCAGTACATAAATTTAGGACTACCATAAATCTCTTAAACTACTGAATTTTGTGAGATAAGTTATAGCTCCAAATGTCATACACATCAACAGTATCCATCAATACAGGTTTTACTTTTCTGGTATATCTATTTATGATATTCTGCATTTTTAGTCACCTTGTTATACAGGAGTATATCAACAAATTTATGGGTTATTTTTCAATATCTTTTTAAATCTTGATCTGCATCATTAGTTTATTTTTCATCAGAATTCTTAATAATTAAGGTGTTATGGCTGAAAATATTGTTAACAGTGAGGTTTTCAAACTGATAATACAATGCATTCTAATTATTATAAGTAAAAGAGTTTGAATAGTATTTTTAATTACCTATGTTCAATTCTGAGTACATTTTTAGTTCTCATCTATGTAAGTAGTTTGCTTTGATCAGAAGTTAATATTAAATGCATAATATGTATTTCTTATTTTTGCGATTTTTTACTGGTGTAATTACTGAAAAGTGTACAACCTTGTGTACCTTAGTAAACAAATTTTTTATAAAAACTAATATTATGTAATAATATTAGTTGAAAAACCTACATATATACTCAAAATATACACTTCTGATACATAAGTTTCCATGATTACAAAATATCAAAGTATACTAACTTCTTTGATCTCATTTTCAGGTGCAAGACATCTTGTCAGAATGTGAAGATCAACACCATCCTGTTAAACAGTTACACATTAATATTTTCAATAATTATGGAATATTGCTTGCATTAAGTAAACATAATAACAGAGATACATATGTAAAACCAGTTGATAATTTATTATTTCTTGAAATGAGAAAATGAATTTCAAATATATAAAAAAAATAAACACTGTTGTGTTTATAAATATTTATATAAAATTAGTGACCACATAAAGCAGTACTCGAAAAATTTAAGTTGAAAAAAGAAGGTTAACAAATACTATTAATAATGATGTCAAACACATCTCCTAAGATCATTTCTGATGGAAAATAAAATGTAAAATAGTAAACAATGTCAAATTTACATACAACATTAACAGTAATTAACAAGAATCAATTAGAAAATTAATACTCATATAAGTTAATAAAAAAATTGTATGTCTACATTATTAAAATACATGTACCTTTGCAATAGTGTAGAAAGGGTATAATGATATGGTTTTCTAACATACAGTATTTTTTACAGTTTAATAAATCAATTCATGTCAGACTGAAAAAAAAAGCATAACATGTTTAATATTAAAATAATGAAAGATAATTAACTGGTATGAATTAACTATCATTCTATATTAACACTTTCAATACGAGCTCAGTCAATTTGCCCAACCACATGACCTTTTTGTACTCGTTTAAAGCCTTTATAGATTTAATACTTATAACTCTCAATATAGTGGATATATCTTCACGAAATTTGTCAGTCTTTCAGTTAGTACAAGTCTTTCACATACAAAAACTCATATTTCTTAGTGAAGTGTTTTTAATAAAATAAAATAAAGATTTGTCCATGAATATATAGAATATTTATTTTGAATAGTCCATGTGCAAAGTAATTTTCATGTTAAAATTAAAAATACTTTTCCTCATCTCAAAAATATCAAATTTTCTTTGTGTAATCCCTAAAACCTCCTAAGTGCATTTCAAACGTTTTTTTTTCCAATAAAACTTTAAAAGTTTATCTGATATTTTCTCTGCCCAATCTCAAATTGAGATTGATCAAATCGATTGACCTCATAATTACCAAGAAAAAAAATCGAAATAAACCTAAATTAACCTTTTTT